TTCAGACACTGCAAAATGTGATGGCGTACTTAACCTTTGGAGCTGCTGTTTTTTGAAGAAAGACCAGCCTCAAATAAACCTGAGGAAGAAACCTGTCACCCAGTGCAGTGTGACTCACTGGTGTGTGTTTCTGGACAAGAATGGATGTGTAAGACACAGACCAATAAGTTAAATCTGGTTCTGGATTCAGTGGTAGTGCAGTGGTTAGCACTGTCACCTCACAGAAAGAAGATTCTGGGTTTGAGCCCTGGCTGACCCGGGGCCTTTCTGTGTGGAGTCTGTATGTTCTCCCTGTGTCTACGTGGGTTCTCTCCGGGTGCTCCGGCTTCCTCCCACATGCAGCTTAGATTGACTGGTTGGAGTGTGGTTGTTTGTCTAAATGTCAGCCCTGTGACAGACTGGCAACCTGTCCAGGGTGGACCCCGCCTCTCACCCAGGGTCAGATGGGATTGGCTCCAGCCCCCTGTGACACTATTCAAGAATAAGTGGCATAGATAATGGATGGATGGATGGTTCTGGATTCACACACATTACAGTGAGTACACCACATTCATTGTTGCTGTTAGTCTCCAGACGGGCTTTGTGAGGAATAAACAGAAAAATAACCGGCTTCATCCTTTAAATACCTTTATTAGTAGAACTGTAATTTTTAGACTCACGTTTACTTCAGCGTTCCTCTAAACTTCACAGAGTCACTGCTGACATATTGATACTGAAATATCCTACAAAGTCTTAAATGGCCCTGCTCGAGGAGGGAGGAAGAAGGGAGACTGGGAGAGGAGGGTGGAGGACAGTATGAGATGAATACGCCAGAAAATGCATCAGCAAAGGCAAATTTATAATATATGTCCCTCCCCGGTGCTCAGCTGGAATTGCTTCTGGGGGAAGTCATAAAGCAGAGCGCAAGCTAAGGAATCCCTCCTCCGGCCTGTTCCAGGAGAGACTGATGCCAGATTTAGGTGGGACTGACACCTTTCTGAATCATGTCCTGTGTAAATGTGGGTCTTTAAAACAGCTATCCAAAGGTGATATTTGCCGAGGAAATGGCGGAGCATCGTTGGCCTGACGCAGTTCGCTTTCTGCTTCCTGCTAATCTACTCAATTAATCACATCAGTTGAGGCAGAGATATAAATGCCTCAGTCAGGAGACGAAAGCATGATGGATGAGTGAGTTAAAAGGTCCTACTGCTCTGGCTGCTTTTTTCTCAGCCTCCCGATTTATTCTTTTTCCCTTTCTTGCATTTTTTCCTCTTTTCCATTCTTGTTTCTTTATATCGGCTATATTTGCTTTCTTTCTGTTCTGATTTCCAGTTTTATTTTCCCTTAACTTCCTGTCTGTTGTTCTCTCTTTCCATTTACCTCCCAATCTGTCCATCAGTTTTTCTCTTTCCTCACCACCCTCATTACTTTTCACTTCTCTTTTCTGTGTTAACAGAGGACATTTCTACATCGCTCTAGGATATTTTACATAGCAATGTGAATATATACTGCACAAAAATGCGAAACAAAACTGCTGTTGGAATTGTCGCGCCAAACGTATTTACATTTACCACACATCACCACAAAAGTACAAGATGAACCAGAAGATGTAAATCCCACATTTGAAAAGGGCTGTTTTGCTATGTTGATGATTGCAGGGGGATGAGATGCTCAGTGGACAGAACAGAGACCAGACACAGGAAATAAAACAGGCAGACATCCCATTTCCAGTCTTGTTTGCAGCTGTTTTGCTCACACTTTTTATATTTTACAAGCACACGGAACATGTTCGCAGCTCTTTTATGCTCAGTTGTGGGTTGTTTTATTGACTCTACTCGGCAGCACACCATTTTTGCTTCATTCACAGAAGAATTACAAAGCATTCCTTCTTCTGCTTCACACATCACCGATAAGTTACATTAATAGGAAAAAATAGTTTGAAATGGTGTCATTACATGTTTGATTCATGCCAAGTCTCATACAAATATAACCTTTATTAGGCCCAGTGTATAAAGTGGGGAAAAGAGATGCTCAGGTCTTCCCGCCCACACTGGCACACTGGTGAGAAATAGAAGTGAATCATCTCATGCAGCCACACATGGTGCTGCTACTGTATGTGTGCACAGTTGTTTATCATATAAACTGCTTGTTATCACAGGCTCTTTGCTACATGTGCACTGGAACTTGTGCATCCGTATGGACTGTTGTTTAGAAGTAGTACTTTCATATAAAACGTAGCCAGAGACATCAGTCCAGTCTGATGGACCGTTCCCATGTTGCTGTTGCCATGGGTGACTTTTCTTATTGTGATTGGCTGAATCCTTTGAATCATGTCACAGGTGAAAAGTGAGCACTGTGTATGTACTGAATTATTCATTTACTGGGAAGCTTTCTAAATGACATGCGAGTTGATCATTGTGGAAATCACGCTCTGTGTAAACGGGCCCTAAGGTCTGTAAATGCAGGAGCAGGGTATGAAGAGAATGATGAGAAGGGAAGGACGATGGAGGGAAGAACAACAGCAAGAGGCAACAAGGAAAGGTGAGCTGCATCCTAAAGCAGGACTATAAATTGCCTCTTTTCAAACCCAAAGGGCAAATTTTCATTCCTCCCACTGTTTATCTCCTCTGTCCTTCCCTCCACCCATCTATCCATTCATGGACTGCACAAGCCCAGTCTGTGCCATGCTAATGGAGGACATTTCTAATTAAGCATTAATGTAATGAATCACCTGTGACACCCAGTGGTGCAGGTCTGGTTTCAGTAAGGCGGTCTCCTTACATCAAGTGGCTTTTTGCTTTCTCCCTTATTGTTCTCCTCCTCCGCCTCTCTTTCTTCCGTCATCACTCCTCCTCCTCATCCCTCCATTGTCCTCATTGCACCTCCGCCTCACGCCCCTCCACCCCCCACATTAATCACATGGCAGGGAGAATAAAGCAGAGCATCTGTAATAGTTTAGCAGCATCACTGAAGGACAGACAGAGGTCGACTAGCATTGTGGCTAATGTGTAGACGCCCGGTGTGTGTCTATGTACGTACATTAACAGAAATAAATGGCTTTGTGTGGATTCTTGGACAGAACGGGGACGTGGGGTACTAAAAATGGATCACTACCTGGTGGTCTAACACACATGCACATATGTCTGTATACACATACCAGCACACACACACTAAGGGAAGCACTGCCCCTCCTTTGGCAGCTTTTGTCCCATTTGATCTGATATTAAAGACATCCACTTTTCTTCCATTTTACTGAAGGATATTTGCAATAATTGGCAAAGTGACCATTTATTTTGCCTTTTGCTGCCACTGACAACTAGAGGCTGGTCTCACCGAAGAGAGTGGAGCTGCCTTTTTTATTGGCTGGTTGATTTGTTGTTGCTGCAGAGGTTTTGCACCAGTCGTTAAGTTCTCCTGCTGCCAGCACTTCCTCCTGCTTTGGGCTGTGTTACTGCTTGTATTCTGAACACAAAATGCTGCCTTTTTCTTACCCAGAATGCACTGCAGAGATCTCCTGCCGATAGACTGCCACGCAGTCTCCTACAGCAGCCCACAGGGAACACAAGTAATAGTCATGCATGAATTTATTTGACATTGTCATTTATCAAAAAATGTAAAGGCAAACACAAATGAGTCCTAATCATCAGAGGGTTTTTTTTGTCTGCTAGGTGTTGTTTTAACTCTGAAGGGCACTGGGGCACTTGTTATTTTCCTAGTTAGCTTCCACACATATACACACATCCAGAGTGTGTCTCAGCCGATCGCAGTGTTTGTCTCTCAACCAGATAAGGAAGTCATTGTGTCTCCTGTAATGAAAAGGCAGGGTGAGAATGGAGATAGGATTTTCAATATCTCCCCGTGCTGTGGTGAAAACACAGTGCACACACCATAACCTCGAAGTACTGCGTGTCAATCAATCCAGTCCATTCAACCAGAGCAGCACGGGCCCTTTAACATGTGAGATAAATACACCCTGTGCTTGGCTTCAGCTCTTATTGATGACTTTTACAAAGGGGAGATGCCAGCTTTGTCTCAGTGCTGCTGCAGGTAGTGTGATCTGTGGTGAGCTCATAATATATTGGGGTCTTTGTGTGTGCAGTTTGCAAGTTCTCCCCATGCCTGCGTGGTGGTGCTGGAACTTAGGTTAACTGGTCAGTCTGAATTAAAGGATGACCAACTAAGAAGGGCATAAACCAGTTTTCATTACATGAGGATCAGTCCATAAGTCACCACCCGCCCAAACGCCAATCAGCCACAGCAGACCACTGGAAAACGGTGCAGCAGAACTGTAAATGGCATGATGTCGGTGTTTACGTGCTGGTGCGACACTGTAAAATAGCTGAATTTTTGCTTTTTGTAGTTCTTACAATGCACCAGAAATACTGAGTTATAAGGAAAATACAGTTTTGTCTTTCAGTCACTTCCTTTACTTAGAGATCTGTGATCTTCTCAGCTACATGAACAGTTCAGTGCAGTTTAGTAACCTTTAGTACTGGAGCCATTTATTGACTAGAAATAGCTGGACCTTGTAACTGCGCGAAGCCCCTGAGAAGATATAAAGATACATCAAGATACAACACATGGAGAAGACTCTGTTAGAACTATGAAAATAGATAGGGTGTATAATTTTTCTCCTGCTACCAGTCTTTGTGTTTAGGTAGGCTAAATGCCCAATGGACCATCTTGAACAGACAGGACTGAAGTTAATAGCATGCCATGAAATGTGGGGAAAAGAATCCGTTTACTTACTTTACTGACTGGTGAGATCAGTTGGTTTAGTTTTAGGAATCCAAATTATTCAGTCATGTAGCAAAATGTTTTACCTTCTCGTGTTTCGTTTCCATCTCGTGTTTCTTCTGTATTTGGTTTTCATGTCTAAACCACTCTGTATTTATCTGATCTGAAAGCCAACAGATCTCTAACACAGACACACACACTCAACACTCTCACTCTTACATACACAGACTCATTCAGAAACACACACACCTCCAACAGTAACGTCTTTCTCTGGTTCCTAACAGCCTGAGTCTTGGCCTGTGTTGCAGGAGGATGAGACGGGCGAGGGGCGCTTCAGCTTCCCCGGCTACGGCATGGGCCCCGCCTGCCTGCAGGCCAAGGACGGCATGGCCATCAAGGGCAACAGCAACAATGCCCCGGCCTCAGCCGCGCCAGAGAAGAGCATCGAGGAGATGAAGAAGCTGTTCATCAGCCGGGCCAAGCGCATTGATACAGTGTCCCGTGTGGCCTTCCCGCTTGTCTTCCTCATTTTTAACATTTTCTACTGGATCATTTACAAGATCATTCGCAGTGAGGACGTCCATAAGCAGTAGTCAAGAAGAGAAGGAGGAGGAGGAGGAGGGTGAAAACGGTGCAAAGAGGAGAATGCAGAGAAACAAAAGGAGACAAGGAAACAGACAGAAAGAACAAAAGCTGGAGATATTATTGCCCCTTTTTTCATGCCAACCACCCTCTTTCCTTCATCCTCTTCCCATTTGATCGAGGATAAATTGCTTTTTGTGGCGATCACTCCCTCAGCCCTCCCTGACCGCTGCTAGACTTGATTTGAGATATTTAATGCTTTCTTTTCCTGTTACTCTCCTCTCCTGCCCCAGATCCCATCCCTGTTCCTATATCTTTACACCTCCTCATTAATCCGGATCAGTGCAATAGCAATGCAGTAAAATGCATGATATATGAATGTGGCAATATATTAAAGAAAAGATGACAATGAAAAAGTAAACAGACTTTTGCAGGCACAGTGAGAGTGGATGGACTGGAACAAAAGGAGACAATGGATGAAGTAAGTCTTGTATTTGATTTTAGTTTTTTTTGTGTGTGTGTGTGAAGCCAGATATATAATTCAGTATGAAAAGTGATGTGGGTGATTGCAAGAAGCATACAGCAGTGTAACATACCTATATATCTATCATAAATGGAAAAAATAGGAACTTGCAGGCATCTGGAAACTGGGGATTTTCACCAAAAAACAGAAGGAAGGCAGATCAGTGCTTCAGTTAAACAAAGGGGTGCAAGGATCACGCATTCTATATATCTAGCTTTGCTTTAAACGTGTATTGCAAGCAGTTGTCAATGCTTTCCCTCCCCAACCCCTCACTGCCACCACCGCTAACGCCACCAAACCTTGAACTGCAGAGACACTTGAGGTTTGCAGCTGCCGCGGTCAAATACAACTGGACACAAGGAAAAGAATTTTTAAAAACACTAGATGAGCAGTGATGAAGATGAGGCAAATATCTCACTTATCTGTGGTCAGCGTGTTCCTCTACTTGTCCTTTATTTGGTTCATTTTGCATTTGTTGCTTTCTTTGGTTTGTTTCTTCTTTTTTGTGCCAAAGAACAGGTTGCTTGTGGCTGTGCATCGCTCTGCCGCTCTGACCTTTTTGTCAAGAGGAAAGGGGGAAGGTCTGATGCCCACTGTGCCACTGAATGGTGTCCCCTCATGTGCTCCTTCTGGGTTTTTTTAGTCCTTGAGATAATAGTTTGTTTTCATCGACTGGAGAAAGAACAAATTGATCCTGGACAGAATAAAATGCAGATCCTCGTTTGCTTTCCTTGTTATGTTCACTAGGACTGAAACATAGATGTTTACATCTCATTAGTGCTTCCTTGCTTTGACCCCACCTTAACATGACCCCCATCCCTGCTGTGCCCAGCTTATGTAATTAAACTATACCTACAGATTATAACACCTGTTACACCTTAACTATAGTTCCAACTCATTCACATGCACTAGTTGTAGCTGCAAATGTCGTGGTTTGTGAAAATCTACGCCAGCATCCACACGGAGTCCACCAACAGGTTTTCTGTTGCCAGGCGGAAACATTCAGAAGTCAGTTCTTTGGTGTTTTGTCAGATTTACTTTGCACCAGGCTTCTCTATGCAAGGATTGGTATATGCAATTATGATTTTTTCCCCCTTTACTTTGAGCTCCACCATCTCAACACCACCACCTTTCTGTAAGTTATTTCATGCTAACTGGTCAATATTAAAGAAACTGAGAAGATAAAATGGTAAAAAGTGAAAACCGGTCTGGGACTTTTGCCTAGTGCAAGCAGATTCCTGCACAGGGAAATGTTTTCTTGTAGAAATCAGCCAAACCTCTGAGCCAGACAGAACTTGGAAAGTGCAAAAAGCTGCGGGTCTTTCTTCTCTCTTTCTATGTGAATGGTTGTTTCAGATTTTTCTTCTGTCATCTTGTCATGTCTGCAACGTTTACTCAAAAAATCCCAAAGTGCTTCTGTATTTTACCAATGACAGAAATTTACAGAAAAGTTTTAAAGCAAACGTAGCAAAACTGAAAATTTCAATTTTGTAGCAAAGCAAAACTTAAACCTGATAATTCATACTTTCATACAGACTTTCAGATTTATTCGATTTTTATTGCATGTTTGTCTTTTGAATTTCTGCCCTCGGTGTGTTCAGCTCGAGTGTTTCAGAGATGTACAGTATTTACATCTCTTTTCACACCAAACTAAAAACCTTTCACCATTTTTCAAATCATCTTTTTGCTTTCTGTACAAGAGTCAGGTGAGGAGATTAATTGAAGCGCACAGGTGATTAGCCTAGCTTAGCATAACCGCATTTACATTATGGTTTCTGTGCTAATTACGTAATCAAGGTAAAAAGTGTTAATTAGTGAAAGATGGGGAGATCCAGACTAGTGTATATGCTAAGCTAGCCTAATAGCCTCCCAGCTGCATACTAAACATTTACATAAAAGTGCTGTCTTCTTATCTAACTTTGTAACGGAAAGTCACTATAGTTTTGCACTATTTCTTTACCATGCAGGGTTTAGTGAATTGCTTCACTGCAGCTGTTTGACCATCCTGTCAATGAAGAATCACTTCAGTCATACGGAGTCCAGAGTTTAAAAGCATTCGAATGACATTTTTAATGTGAAGTGAAAAATGTTTCACACTTTAGAAAAATGCTTCTTCAGCTGTAATGCAAACAAACAAAAACCTTGACCTGGAGCAGTGCCTGCTCAATAATGACATTTAAAATGTATTCAACTTTGCAATAATACTACAGTGAGGTGCACCACATACAGGGAAACTGTAGCTCAGCATCAGGGTGCCCTTGTAGACAAGGTTGCAAACCTGGAGGGACTTTTCCCTGGTTAAACAAAGGTTAGATGTTGAAACTATCATTTCACTGGGCTTTTTTGCTTGGTTGTGAAGCAAAACCTAAGGTGTTTTTTGTGTTTCACATGCTATTGCTTTTTGTGGCTGTCATGGACCAAATACTTAAGATTTTTGGATTATATAAAATCATGTTCACTTTGTCTTTAAGCTCAGTAATTGATTGCTAGCTGCAATTTGTCTTATTATTGTCAGATATACAGATATATAACATGTTCATGATAAAAAAAATAGTCTGATATGGAACATTTCCCTCCACATCCTTGTGTTGTTTAATTTTTTTCAAGGTTGTCTGATTTAGTGGTAGATTACTGATCCTTTTAAACAGTTAAAAGAGATCAAATCATTCAGACAGTGTGTAGGAGATATATTCTAGTTGTTTCATTCCATCATATGTTTTATATTACATACATACATTCCTCTGTTTACATTTCAGCATGTTTACTTCAAAGTGGAAGTGCCATCGCTTCAAAAGCTATGCATCACAGGCAGCAAATTGTTCCCGGATGCTGTGGTGTGGACCTTTTCATGGCCATGATCACCAAGGATGCATTTTACTATCAGTAATTTGGACAGAGTAGGTGTACATCTACTGTCATGTATACAGTTCTAGGGAGAAACGGGAGAAAACTACCCTTAATGTAGCATAAACATGAAGTGAAAGATGGTCTTTCAACTAAAGAATAGAATGAATCAGAGACATTTATTGGTACAATTTAAATTTTTATTTTGAAGGCTGATAATTTGGTTTCTAAGGCCTAACGAACTATGCCATACAATGCAAGTTTTTCTGTGCAGTAATGTCACTTACATGACATTAGTTACAGAAACAATATTGTAGTAGGTTGAGTACTCAAAACCTAATAATCATGCTATTTATTTTTACTTGCTAAAAATGTTTCTTCAAAAGAGCATTTCTTTAGTGAGACAAATTGACCTTCCTTCATGTTCTTTCTTTCATACAAGCACCAGAGATAAAGCGCTAACAAAGAGTTTATCATAAAACGGCTAAGAAGCTGAAAGTAGTTTGCTAGTAATGTTGACATTTGTGCTTACATATGTAGAAACTATGTAGCAAAATGTGAGAACACTACACACGGTAAACTAGTCAGAAAGCTAGCAAGCATGTTCTTTGGCTTAGCAAATAGAAGATCAGTGTGCAACTCCCGAATAGCACTTTGTTGAGACCAATTACAACCTTGGTTTTGTGGCCTTTTTATGCAGCAAGATCTGGCCAAAGCCTTTAGTTTTCTCAAAAAAGTAGCTCAGAGATGAGGCTAAAACAAGCTTGTAATGTCAGCTTTCATGCATACTAATGTAGAAGTGATGTAGTTAAATCTCAGAAAAGTATGGTTAGCTAGTCAAAAAGCTAGCACACATGCTATTTAGTTTGCTTAATTGGAAGTTGGCATGCATTTTTCAGATGATGGAGAGACAGTTTTTTCAAAATGCAACTCAAAGCTAGCTCTAAAATTTGCTTTCTAGTGATCATGGTTGGGCTCATTGCTCAAAAAATGTAACACATTACCCGTTACTCCATGTCAAAAGTAACTCCTTACAATTACTATTTATATTAGTTTAACGTCACATCCCACAAACTGAGAATGCACAGCTAAGGTTTCAAACGGGTTTTTTTCTTAAGCCTATAAATGTTTTTCCAGCCATTGAACGTGGGCGCTTCCATCTTCCAAGCTAGCTTACTGCTTCTGGTGCTGCTAACTGTGATGTGTGGCAACGTGTGCACATGCCACAACTACAAATATTAAATCTAGGATTTCAAATCAGTCTAACTGTTTACACTACTCATTACTGGGAAAAGTAGTATTATCACAGTAACACATTATGGCCCAACACTGCAAGTAAAAACATAAAAGCAATGTATAAAAACAAATGAAAATTAAGCTAGTTAAAAAGCAAGCAGTCATGCTATTTATCTAGTATTTTATGTGAAACACAATCAGTGTTCTTGAAACAGCACAAGTAGCTAAAAAGAGTTTGTCATTATGAAGCGTGTAAGGTCTAAATGAGATGTTTGGAGTTTTTACAGAGATCTTTATCTTGTGTGTACATATAAAATATTGTAAGCACCAGATAAAAACCTAACACTTTTTCAGGACTTTGGGGGCTCTGTTAAAATTGTTAACAAAAAATATACTTGATTTTACCAAAAGGCAGCTTTTGTGAGGAGCGGGGGACAGAGGTGGTTGCTTACTATTTCAGTGCCAAAATAAATAGCCTAGCTGTTACTGTACAGTGCCGGTCAAAGGTCTGGACATATTTTCCAACTGAACTGAACAGACTGTGTGTCCAAACGTTTCACTGGTAAATTCTGTTGACTTTGTAATTGCAAATGCAGAACAGCGCCATCTAGAGAGGCAACAGAGTGACATTACTGATTTAAAAAACCCACTTCTTTCTTGCTCTGTTTGATGCAGTGCCTCCTCTCTGGTCATGGCCTGAACCTGACTGCAACAGCAGGCTCAGACTAATTAGGCTGACTTATTTTTCCCACCGTGCCATAGACACTGCATCTGGAATAAAAGTCCTCTGTCCATCAGCAGTCGTCCATCTTCTAGAACGTTCATACATATCTTCTTGTGCCATATGGGGGTTGAATATGCAACTAAAAATCAAAGACCTACAAGCATATCAAGCATTCATTCAACCACCATTATCCACAAAGTATTTTTTCATGTTCACACCCTTTTCCTCAGGCATGAGTGTTGTGTGTATCATGGTCATTTTAGAGCTTTGTCATAGGCTTCATATCATTATGTTAATTATTGTTATACTGTATGGAGCTGGGGGAGGAAGGGGTCCATGACATGAGACAGTCATTGGGTTTATATTGCATTATGTTGCAATGTGATGCACTTGGACAATGAAGGATGTGTTTTGGAAGTTTACACATTCTTAAGTTCTGAACTGGATTTTGTAGCATGGTTTGATGAATCTATTGGTTTTTGTTTGGTTCTCTTGTATTGTATGTATTGTACAATCCACTGTGCTGAGGGAGAAGGAAGAATATAGTGACTCCTGAACTGCTGTGAAATAAAGGAAATATTATTATTATGATTATTATATTTATTTATTTTCTTTGCACAAGCTGGAATGGCCTTAATTTTGCTTTACTTGCTTCTATTGTGTATTGGCACCAAGTGCACCCGTATAATTTGCAGAAATTATGTCACTCAACGATGCTTACAATCTGAGAGTGCAGTTGAAAATAAAAAAAGAAAAGAAAACCAAATCCTTTTTATTTTTCATTAGTCAGAGAAACATTATTTTGCATGAGTATAAACACAATGGCAGATATTTTGGCTTGTACAATAAAATGTGAAGCAATTTGAAGAGAAAAAAGAATGTACCATTTCTGCTGTATCTGTATATATCTAAATATTTATTGAAATATGTCATACTACTAATTCTATTAACGATTAAAAGTTTTCTGAACAAAAATCTCCTTACCTGTTTTTGAACATTGTCAAGATTGTTGGAGTTGGATCTTTTGCTTTCTGTTACTCGACTCAAGGATCTGTGTAATCATTAAAGAAAAAGTATTAAAAATCGAAACCCATTGCTGTATTTATTTTCTAACGTCTCTGTGACAAATTGATTTCTGTCACAACAGCTTTGCAATTGTTCATCTTAAGAACAATTTGTTTTATTGAAACTGTCTCTGAAAAAAAAAATCATGGCAATAATCATGTTCCTCACACCCTGCTTGAATTATTTCCTTGTGCTTTATACCCAAAATGCTACCAGGCACCAATGGTGATTTTTTTTTTTTATTCCTTTTGAAGCACGAACAGCCTGATGTATGGCCTGACATTCTGGTTGCAGGCACCAGACCAAATCAATGTGAAACCAGGATTAATCTCCTGTTAGCCAGCTGAGGGCATCACATGGCCATGAAATCTGTTCATCTTGGAGAGCTGTTGTGGCTAACATGTTAGCAAACGACTGCCTGCTCACCCATCCAGCAGACACACCAGCTGACGGGGAGCAATATTAGTGTTTGATCTGTGCCCCTGACGTAATGAGTCCGACAGTTACTGTCCTTTTAGCTTTGATTTGGTCTTCGCCAACCCCTGAGAACAATATCTGTCCCTTTAGCTGCTAGATGTTTCACTTTCTGTTTTACATTGTACTTTATGGGCTGTAGAGTGACTCAGCTGTGGTTTTGTTTTACAGCTTGACAACCCTTTGTGCAAGTGTTCAGCAAGAATACATAAGAATATTATTGAATAATACACAACATTGTGTTTTTAATAGTACTTTGTGCTTATAAAAATTATTAGATTATTATTATTAGATGTAGGGACCTGTAATCTGATTCATTCTTTCATTTCACAGCATCCAGTTCATGTCCTCAGTACAATATAGCTAATTATTGTCAGTATGCAAACACATCCATAAATAGTGCATAACACATACTAAAACATGGAGGTTATGCTTTGTATTGTTTGTTGGTTTTGCCAGGTGTCACTTCCACACGTCAGGAGCCTTTATATCCCACACAGGGGCTTTAAATCATTTTACAAACACCAAACTTGGTTTAAAAGTTTTGCCATGATAAGTGAGAACAAAGATAAAACAAAAATGGACCATTACTGTGACTCAGTGTTTAGGATTCTATCCAAATGCAGTGCAGATTTTTATGAAATTCCAAAACAAAGTGCAACAAGAATTGTATGTCTCCACCCACAACTGTTATGTAAATGTTAGAAGGTGCGCAGTGAAAATGTGCAGGTGGATAGAGACTCACCTACAAACTAAAGTTACAATTGCCAGGTCTTGTGACTTAATATTCTTTTGGAAATTACACAATAGCAAACATGGGTAATATGAATAAAGATAACCAAAAATAAAGCTAAAACTGATGCTCTGTGTGCAGGGAACCGATTTGGAGGAACATAAAATTAAAGAGCCACTAGATGGTGATATCAAAGTATAAGTTATAGCTGATCAGAGATTTTAACCTTATGTTTTCAGTTGAACCTTTGACTATCAGGAGCTTCTGATCACAGATGAACAACTGGCTCCTCATGAAGTGACAGGCTAGTTGTTTCTGGCTGAAAAGAAATGCTAATCTTACAGATGGAAGTTCTTGTCCTGTTTCTCCAGACCAGCTTCAAATTTCAGCCATGGATCAAGATGAAATAGCAAATGATGGTATGTTATCTCTGACAGGATTGGTTGGTTCTGCCATGATTACTGGATCTACAGCACATGAAGCAGTCCCACTTAAACATGCCCTTAAGTGGCATTAAGTCAGGGAGGGATTCTGAGTCTTGTACTGCAGTGTAGCTGCTTTACTAACAGGACTGAGCTCAAATCCTTATTCAGCTCACAGCACGAACTGATTCAACTTACACTCGATATGATCCACCTGCTGGGAGCACCATGAGCTGTTTGGCATTTATTAGATGGCTCCAAAGAGATTAGAGGGACAGGTAACTTTAAGGAAAGATATTGTATAAATCTTTTGATTTATACAATATACAGTAAAACCACAAAATGATTTGAAACCTGAACTGCAGTCCTGTCCCAGCCTTAAAGCACACACAGCCAAACAGGGCTGCAGCAGGATTTCAGAACTACTGAGGTCTCACCAGTTACAAGGTGCCTAATCTCAACTGGTATTGATTAGCTAATTTTTTTTGTGGATGCTTGGAACATCATTCAGAATGCAAGATTTTACTGTTAGTTTTCTGGTGCAATGGAAGTTGTTAGTGGTCAGCTCAGTGGGTCATAAGAGGAGAGAGGCTCACCAGGCACAAGGGCATGACCTGGCATCTGTCACTATCACAGCACCATGTACCAAAAGGCTGTTGGATAAGTGAAACACTAACCTAGAGTGGCCTAAAGGCGAAGGCAAAGAGGTTAAGGAAGCAGTTCCATCAGTGTTAGAGAAGCCAGTTAAAATCTACAGTCGGTGGTTGATGTAGATCATGGGTTTGACACAGCAGGCAGAGTGCAGAGACGTCAGGCCTTCCATACAAACTCAAACTGTGATGCCTGCACTTTGGTCTGCTGCCACCATCGTTGTGGACAGCGTGTGATCTACTTCTCTGGAAGGAAGAGAGAGGATGTTCAGAATTTGGAGAGAGGCTGGGAGCCCCACACTGCCTCTACAGTAGAAGTTTCTGTTTATACCCTTAACAGCTACTAAAAATACTTTATTAGTATTAAAACTGCAAAAAAGTCTCCTGTCTTTAATTGTATGTCTACAGTGTGTGCACTACTTCTTGTTTGCAAGTCAAGTTTGGTTTCGCAGCTTAGAGCGAAGTGCACCTTCTCAGCTCCTGAATGGAGCAGCACTTCATCCTGGCAACTGCTACAGAATCACGTTAGAGCTGGCTTCAGTGATTTATTGAAGTCGTTCACCTTTTTTTTTGGTCCTCCAGGGAGAAATCCATCTTTTCTCTTGGCTGCCTCTGCACAGAGGTCAGAGGTCAGCATCAGTTACAGGGCTGAGGCCCTGCAGGAGATCGGAGTGTGTTAAGTTGGAGGTTATGTTCTACTCTGAGAGGAAATCTGTCTGATGTATAATGTAGCTCACCTGGAGGGAGGCTTGTTCAGAATGAAAGGCAACAAAAAGGAATAAGCTGATGTAGAAGGCCTGGGAACAAAGAAAAGAAAACATGTAGAGTGAGGCTCTAAAATAAAGCAGGAAAACACAGGGGGAGCCTATTCTTCTGTAAGTGCAATGTGAGAAGGAAACATAAACCACAAATTCTGATGTTATTCTGATTTGCTCATATAAAAACTCAAATAATATGTCAAACAGTAATGCTTTCATTTTTAAATGTTTTTATTTTATTACAAATCTTTATCACAAACAGGAACCTGGACCTAAACAGGCAGCAGCATGTGACATAGTTGGGACACAAAATAGAATTTAACGAAACAACCTAGAAACAAGGTGCAGATGACAGCGGCTGGTCGTGTCCACACCTGTGTTGAACTGGAGGAAAAATGCACAACAACTGAATAAGAAGAAGACTCTTTATGGGGTTATGGTTAAATTGAAATAACCTCTGTACAAGAGTAAAAAAAGAAACGTTGGCTCTCAATAAACACTGATTTAATAATGATGTCGCGTGAACAACGGGTGCATGTTCAGTAGGTGGCGGTAATGCGCTTTAAACTGGCATGACAACCGCCAATACACTACAGAAGAATAAGAAGACCAGGTGCATGCTGGGTGTGGTTCATTGCTAAACGCTACATGCTAACACAGGCCTTCCCTCTGGGTTTCCGAGTAGCTTAGACTCATTCAGCTCAGTGTCCGTAAACGTTCACTGCACTGGTTTATGGACTGGACCGGGCTGGTTTATTCTGCTAGCCTGAGAGTGCTGCTAGCCACTGGGAGTGGACGGGCAAGGCAGGGGAACCTGGAGCAGACTGTGGAGAAGGTGAGTACAATAACTAATCACTGGTTGATGTACGTTACTGTAACTGTGAAACAGTCTGGAGCTGCTTATCCAACAGACCTGAGCTCCGATGTTCTGTCGAGATGTGCTAACGTAGTTCCAGAGTCTGTCGAGTCACTAACCCTAACCAGGTTGTCTGCAGAACCGCCAGGTGACAGCACAACTCGACAGAACACCGGTGTGTGTGAGTCAGGGACCATCTGTAAATGACTGGCTGAGGATTCAGGGACCATCTGTAAATGACTGGCTGAGGATTAATACCAAAGCAAAACTTAAAAATGTTTCAAACTTTTTTAACTGTGAAGCTCATTCTGTAAATTTATATAAATATTAACCTCTAGAGTCCCTGCGTCCTCATATGAGGACGCAGGGACTCTAGAGGTTAATAATAATAGTTTTTTTTTTGCAAATATGTCATCAAAGGTATTAGCCTAGTACTTTGCATATTTATATTATTTTAATCCAAATATTAAGGTACAGTTAACTTGTTTCAGTAGCTTCCATGTCATGTGACTCAGCGGCTGCTCTAAAATGTGTAACTAGTCTACGTGTCCTGCAGAGTGCTCACCCTTTTATATTGGATATTATAATTTGCTTTCAGGAAGTTTCATGTCATGTTACCCGAAGGTTAAAACCTAAACCCCCCATGTTGTATTACTTATACTGCAGTGCCTGGTGTTGTGCTTAGAGATTATCTGGTTAGCTGGATAACTTTGTTGAAATGAGTGCTTTTATATGGACATGAGTATCTGGGTGTTGATCGTATTTGGCATATGGTGTTTACATTGAACACAGAAATCTGGTTTTGAATATCCCCATATAGCTATATAATAAAAACTAATAACCCGGTTAAGGATGACTTCCAGGCTAACTCGTCAGCCTCCTGCTGTGCCATCTTCAAGATGAATATATCGATAGGAAAATGTTTGCTTAACTTTGTTTAGGTCTGAAGCTTGTTGGAGGTTCAGTCCAGTATCCGCTGGATGACTGCTCCTCTGTTCTCTATGGTGGAAAGTGAACGATGAATGTCATCCAATATTTTGAAGAATTTGAAAGTTGCTAGACTAGACCCACTTCTTTGTGTTTGGC